AATTTTATTGATTTGAGTCCTCTCCCTCTTTTTCTTCATGAGTCTGGCTAAAGTTTATCAGTTTTGTTTATCTTCTCAAAGAACCAGCTTTTAGTTTCATTGATCTTTGCTATTGTTTTCTTTGTTTCTATTTCATTTATTTCTGCTCTGATCTTTATGATTTCTTTCCTTCTGCTAACTTTGGGTTTTGTTTGTTCTTCTTTCTCTAGTTCCTTTAGATGTAACATTAGATTGTTCATTTGACATTTTTCTTGTTTCTTGAGGTAGGCTTGTATAGCTATAAACTTCCCTCGTAGAACTGCTTTTGCTGCATCCCATAGGTTTTGGATTGTCATGTTTTCATTGTCATTTGTCTCTAGGTATTTTTTGATTTCCTCTTTGATTTCTTCAGTGATCTCTTGGTTATTTAGTAACGTATTGTTTAGCCTCCATGTGTTTTTTACGTTTTTTTCCCTATAACTGATTTCTAATCTCATAGCATTGTGGTCAGAAAAGATGCTTGATATGATTTCAATTTTCTTAAATTTACTGAGGCTTGATTTGTGACCCGAGATGTGATCTGTCCTGGAGAATGTTCTGTGCGCACTTGAGAAGAAAGTGTAACCTGCTGTTTGGGGATGGAATGTCCTATAAATATCAATTAAATCTATCTGGTCTATTGTGTCATTTAAAGCTTTTGTTTCCTTATTTTTCTGTCTGGATGGTCTGTCCGTTGGTGTAAGTGAGGTGTTAAAGTCCCCCACTATTATTGTGTTAAACTGTCGGTTTCCTCTTTTATAGCTGTTAGCAGTTGCCTTATGTATTGAGGTGCTCCTATGTTGGGTGCATATATATTTATAACTGATATATCTTCTACTTGGATTGATCCATTGATCAATATGTAGTGTCCTTGTCTCTTGTAACATTCTTTATTTTAAAGTCTATTTTATCTTATATTAGTATTGCTACGCCAGCTTCCTTTTGATTTCCATTTGCATAGAATATCTTTTTCTATCCCCTCACTTTCAGTCTGTATGTGTCCCTAGGTCTGAAGTGGGTCTCTTGTAGACAGCATATATATGGGTCTTGTTTTTGTATCCATTCAGCGAGCCTGTATCTTTTGGTTGGAGCATTTAATCCATTCACGTTTAAGGTAATTATCAATATGTATGTTCCTATTACCATTTTCTTAACTGTTTGGGTTTTGTTTTTGTATGTCCTTTTCTTCTCTTGTGTTTCCCCCTTAGAGAAATTCCTTTAGCATTTGTTGTAGACAGGGTTTGGTGGTGTTGAATTCTCTTAGCTTTTGCTTGTCTGTAAAGCTTTTGATTTCTCCATTGAATCTGAATGAGATCCTTGCCGGGTAGAGTAATCTTGGTTGTAGGTTCTTCGCTTTCATCACTTTAAGTATATCATGCCACTCCCTTCAGGCTTGTAGAGTTTCTGCTGAGCAATCAGCTGTTAACCTTATTGGAGTTCCCTTGTATGTTATTTGTTGTTTTTCCCTTGCTGCTTTCAATAATTTTTCTTTGTCTTTAATTTTTGCCAATTTGATTACTATGTGTCTTGGCATGTTTCTCCTTGGGTTTATCCTATATGGGACTCGCTGTTCTTCCTGGACTTGGGTGGCTATTTCCTTTCCCATATTAGGGAAGTTTTCGACTATAATGTCTTCAAATATTTTCTCGGGTCCTTTCTCTCTTCTCCTTCTGGGACCCCTATAATGCGAATGTTGTTGCGCTTAATGTTGTCCCAGAGGTCTCTTAGGCTGTCTTCATTTCTTTTCATTCTTTTTTCTTTATTCTGTTCCACGGCAGTGAATTCCACCATTCTGTTTTCCAGGTCACTTATCCGTTCTTCTGCCTCAGTTATTCTGCTATTGATTCCTTCTAGTGTATTTTTCATTTCAGTTATCGTATTGCTCATCTCTGTTTGTTTGTTCTTTAATTCTTCTAGATCTTTGTTAAACATTTCTTTCATCATCTCAATCTTTGCCTCCATTCTTTTTCTGAGGTCCTGGATCATTTCACTATCATTTTCTGAATTCTTGTTCTGGAAGATTGCCTATCTCCATTTCATTTAGTTGTTTTTCTGGGGTCTTATCTTGTTCCTTCATCTGGTACATAGCCCTCTGCCTTTTCATCTATTTTTTCGTCTGTTTTTCTGTGAGTGTGGTTTTTGTTCCACAGGCTCTAGGATTGTAGTTCTTCTTGCTTCTGCTCTCTGCCCTCTGGTGGATGAGACTATCTCTCTACTGATATTTCTAATATAAGATTACAGGTTTTTTTCCTTTACTGAAATTGTTTTATATTATGCTTGTATCTTTTATTCACACTGAAAACCTTGCCTAGCAAGGGTATTACCAAATTACTATAACTAATTATTTGCTTTCTTATAAATCTACCCATATTATTTTAAAGAAATCAATATAAATGTTGCAAAAACAAGATTATTGAAAAAAGCTTAAAATTTCTTTGTAGCTCTTTTTGTCTTTAGGATAGATCCAGTATGACTATACAGTCAAAATACTGTGTTTTAAAGCCACATGAATGAATCATTGCCTTTCTTTAGTCATATCATCAGTTTGATATACAGTTAAGTTGCTTAAACTTGATTTAATTTTTAGGGATTTTTTTTTCTATTTTATTTTATATTTTTAAAAATTTTATAAAACAATACTTTAAATCATGCATCCAGTTAGGAACTCTTGAATTAACTATATTTTTCTGAGATATAATTAGCAGATATTTTCCTCATTTTGTCCTTTGTCTTTGTCTTTGCTTATGATATTTTTTCATCATGCATAAGTCATTCATATGTATTTTTAGTGTAGCTAAATTTATTAGTCTCTAACTTGCTTTTTATTTTTTTTTTATTTTTATTTTTTAAATAATACACAATGTATGTATTTATTTATTTATTTATGGCTGTGTTGGGTCTTCATTTCTGTGCATGGGCTTTCTCTAGTTGTGGCAAGTGGGGGTCACTCTTCATCGCGGTGCGCAGGCCTCTCACTATCGCGGCCTCTGTTGTTGCGGAGCACAGGCTCCAGACGCGCAGGCTCAGTAATTGTGGCTCACGGGCCCAGTTGCTCCATGGCATGTGGGATCTTCCCAGACCAGGGCTCGAACCTGTGTCGTCTGCATTGGCAGGCAGATTCTCAACCACTGCGCCACCAGGGAAGCCCCTCTAACTTGCTTTTTAAATGTGAGCCATTTTTATTACAATTTTCTCATTCCTCGATTAAAGAGGAACCTATCCATATTTAATTCAAGTATTTGTAGGGTTTTCATTATTATATTTAGATCTTGCATCGATTTGGAAATTATTACTTAATAATACTTTATTTTTAAATATTAGGCACTAGGGATATAATGTGACCAGAGCAACAATATCTAGTTTCTTTCAGAGCAAATGTTCCATTGATGTATGACAGAACACAAAATTTCATATAATGGAAAATGTTATAAAGACAATAAAAAAAGTTGAAGTGTAGATACAGGCTAAAGAAATGCCTCTCTGATAAGATGATATTTGAGCTGATTTCTGAAACACAAGGTGAAGCTAGCCATATCAAGGCCTGGGCAGAACTGTACAGGCAGAGGGAATACTCAGTACAAAGGCACTGAGGAGGAATAGACCTTAATGCTTATTAAATGCTTACTATGAACCAGGCACAATACGGAAACACTTCACCTACATTATCTCATAAATTTCTTCTAAGAGCCCTTTGGGGTAGGTATCTATTAGCACCATTTTGAATATGAAGACCCTGAGTTTGGGAGAGTTTAAATTATTGGCCTCTTCTCAGTCTCTAACTTGGTTTAAGGTCTCAGAGTGCAGTAGTGAACCCTTGATTTTTCTCCCTCCAGGCTTTCATGAGAAGGACAAGAAGCCGTATTGCCGGAAGGATTTCTTAGCCATGTTCTCACCCAAGTGTGGTGGCTGCAACCGCCCAGTGTTGGAAAACTACCTTTCAGCCATGGACACTGTCTGGCACCCAGAGTGCTTTGTCTGTGGGGTCTGTATACTCACTTATCTCTTGGATTTAGGGAAAGTCGGGGTTCTCCTTTCTGAGAGGCAGCTGGTAAGACGGTTCACAGCTTGGGATGAGAACTTGACAGGGACCTTCTTAAAAGGAACCCAAAACACAGCCTCCATTGTGGGCATTTGCTTGTCTGTCTTGCAGATGGGCAATATTCTAGCCTCTATTTGTCAAGAACCCAAGTGAATTCCTGCACTGGCAGGAAACTGGCAGGGATTTCAAGGCTGAAGTTTTGCTGATGCTTTTTCTGCTTGACATCTGCCTCCCTTTTCTTTTTCTTCTCTCCACCACCCCACCCAGGACTGCTTTAGCAGTTTTTCTACTGGCTCCTTCTTTGAACTGGATGGACGTCCCTTCTGTGAACTCCACTACCATCACCGCCGAGGAACCCTTTGCCACGGATGTGGGCAGCCCATCACTGGTCGCTGCATCAGTGCCATGGGCTACAAGTTCCATCCTGAGCACTTTGTATGTGCTTTCTGCCTGACGCAGCTGTCGAAGGGAATCTTCAGAGAGCAGAATGACAAGACCTACTGTCAACCCTGCTTCAATAAGCTCTTCCCACTGTAATCTCAGCTATACCTACACCCTCTTCTGATTTGCTATAAAATTTAAACCAAGAGAGGATAGAGTACATTTGTACTTACTGACCTTCTGCTGAATAGGCTTACAGAGAAAGCAAAGGTGATGAACAAGTAAGGGAACGTCTAGATGTTACATGACTAGACTTGTGGTATTAAGTTTTGATTTAAAGTCTTACTTTTTTTTTTATCAGGTACTTGAATTTAGATCTGGGACCTGCTGTCTAGTGCCTCTGCAGATGTATTTTCCACATGCACACATTCATTCCACACTGGTTTACTCACATTTCTCCATTTTCACCCCATGATGACTCTACTCAGATATTCTCTTTTCTGCCCCTCGTAACTGGGTCTTTTAAGCTACCCGCATTTCCCTGTGACTCACTTTCTCACAATCACTGCTGCAGACTTTATTCTTGCTGTCAGGAATCATGATATCACTCTTAAGCTCCTTGCATTTCCTTTCAGTGTATTTCTTTTTCAAGAGAAAGTAGATTTTTAACTGGACAACTTTGAATACTGACATCATTGATAAATAAAGTAGCTTGTGATTTTAATGACTCAATGTCATATTACTTTGGTAAATAAACTTTCTGCTTCCCATGTTATATACTAGGCACAATGTGCAATTAAATTTGTGTCATACCTCTTGTTTACTTCCATACAATGGACACTTCGTTTAAATCAAAAGAAATTAAAAGGGGGGACTCCTAGCCCCTAACTTTTCTCTTAATTTGGGCTCATAACATTCACTTTATTTTATTTTTTGCACTTTGGTGATTGATTAAAAGATGGCAAAGCTTCTTAAAAGTTTTTCATCACTCTGTTTACCTATGGAAAAAGTGATTTCCACTAGGCAATTCCAAATTCATATTTGCATATGTACGCATATCTCCAAACTCATAAATTTGTGTCTATTTGTCCAATTTTCTTGTATATCAATTATATCTCAATAAAGCTGTTTGAAAAAATGAAACATGCATCTTCCTTAATTCATAGTTGTCTCATAAAGACAAACAAGATGGCTGTTCTTAGAGCATCTCTGAAGAAAGATGCTATAAAACCTCATTTCTTCATTTTCCAGTAAGAATTAGGAAATCCCAGGCCCACTTAAAAGTAATCTCCACTTAATTACTTTTTCCTCTGAAAAATATTATAAGTAAAATTGTACAGGGCTTCCCTGGTGGCGCAGTGGTTGAGAGTCCGCCTGCCGAAGCAGGGGACATGGGTTCGAGCCCTGGTCCAGGAAGATCCCACATGCTGCGGAGCAACTAAGCCTATGTGCCACAGCTACTGAGCCTGCTCTCTAGAGCCCGCGATCCACAACTACTGAGCCCACGAGCCACAACTACTGAAGCCCACGCGCCTAGAGCCTTGCTCTGCAGCAAGAGAAGCCACCGCAGTGAGAAACCTGCGCACCGCAACGAAGAGTTGCCATCACTAGCGGCAACTAGAGAAAGCCCATGCAGCAATGAAGACACAACGCAGCCAAAAATAAATAAATAAATATATTAAAAAAAATTTTTTTTTAATTACTGAGGAAAACTTCCCTGGAGGTATTTTTAAAAATAGGGCTGAATTTGGTGTCTTTAGATTATTAATGTGGGCCCAGAATTTCTTAGAGAACTGAAATGGATTAAATGATTCTTGCCAAGCTTTATCATTTTGGTCTCCTTTATTGGAACGGATGATAAGGGGCTTTTGAAAATTAAAAGGAAGTAATAACAGTAATTCTATAAAATAGGAACTCCAAAGGCATCCAAACTATGTGGGAGGTCACCCAGGTAGTGAGCCAGCAGCTGGGTTTTGGTCCTGTTTGGCTGGCTGAGAGTACCAGACTAAGCAAAATATATGTTCGATTTCTAAACATCCTCTTTACTGCATATGACTCTGTGATGTCATTTGCAGATGTTAATATGGTTGCTTTGGGAATTTGACAAAGTTAAACTTGGGTGTTAAAGCTTAAGAAAGAACATTCAGGTGCTGACTTTTTTTTTTTTTTTTTTAAGGATTAGCTGTTTTGAGATTTCCGTAGAATCTATGTATTTAAAAGTTTCGAAGAAAAACCAGAGTTTACTAAGGTGAAATTAAGTGAAAACTTTTTCTTTTCATAATGAAAGTAAGTGGTTATATATATTTGTTCAAAAGGATATCACACTGATATATACCTGTTTACTCTTGGTTCTGAGTAAGTTATAGCTTTTAAAATATAAACACAGGGAACCCTACCTAATGCACTGTGGTAACCTAAATGGGAGGGAAGTCCAAAAGGGAGGGGATACCTGTATGTGTATGGCTGATTCATTTTGTTGTGCAGTGGAGGCTAACACAACATTGTAAAGCAACCATACTCCAATAAAAATTAATTTAAAGAAAAATGTAAAACCTACCCTCAAAAGACAGGTTTTTCCCACCTGTGAGGCTATATATTTTTATAAAAGAATGTGCCATAGATTGGGAACTCTGTTCTCAAGGAGGAAATCCTCAGTTTGGCCAATGATTCTGTGGAATAAGTATAGAGTCCTCCAAGGTGATACTTGGATAAAGATGGCAATCATTTTTCTATACGAGTTCTAGCACGTAATCTTGTAGGATGGCTGCTGGCTACAGGCTCCCTGTTTGTGACCAGCAGAGGGAGAGAGGGTACTTTTCTCTATCTCTGCAAGCAAAAGTCCTGAGATCATCCTAATTGTACTAGCTTAGGTCACATACCCACCAGTGATTTTTGCTGGGGAATTGTACTACGCAGCTTGCCTTAAACCAGACTAGATCATTTCCAGAGTTAGGGGCAGGACTAAGTTTCTAAAAACACAGGGGCTCTGTGGAGGAGATGTGAATATTGAAAAATCTGGGTACTGGTAAAAAGAGGGCAATCTTGAATTTATATGACTATATGTTCAAAAACAAAAATATTAAAGAGCTTCTGAGTTTCAAGATAATAGGGAAGGTAAACTAGATCTTTCCAGTGCCCTGAGGGAACATGCCTGAGAACTTTACAGGATGTAAAAGCAGAGGAGTGCCAGGAACAGGATGTTAAAAGCAACATATGGCAGAGATACTGACCTTCCCTAGGCCCTGGGGGGTGGGGCGGGGCACGGCATTAAGAAACATCAAAAAGCAGCTTCAGTGTGAGAATCTGGGAAGAGAGATCTTCTAGCTGAAATAAAGGTGAGAAGGAGTGACAACTCTCTCTAGGGGCAAGTGTCTTAGGTGTGAGCAGGTCCTTAATAAGGACAGAAGTGGCAGCCACTAAAATATGAGACTAAAAAGGTGACTACTTACCCTCAAAATATTGTGGAGGTTGTGTTATTAGATAAAACTCTCCATCAGGGCAGCATGTAAGTGCTGAGAACCCAGAGGTCAAAGGGGAAATGGAAATCTACTGGGATCCCCTGGAGGAGGAAGAAAGAATTCTCAGATCAGTGCTGGTGCTTGTTACAAATGTATAATTGCTGCCCAGAGGCAGCAACGTCTCAATCTATTCGGTAAAATACTGTTAATGTAGGAGGTTCCTCCTCCCCAGTTATGGTAAATGCATAGTGTTTAAATTAACTTCCTGTGAAAAGACATCTCGCATCGTAACTGTATTTAGGTTGACAGGCCATGGATTCTGATAATTGCATAGACATTCTGGCATCCTGGTGAGAGCAATCCATCTTGCCTCCCTATTTTAGGTGTCACCAAATCTCAACAAATATTGCATTCTAGGAATAACATTTCTGCCTGGGAAAACTATCCCAATTCCAGTGAGAGATATCTCAGATCACGGGTGTAAATGATACAATTCCTATAGCTGAGAATGAACAAATGAAGAAATCAAACAGGACTTTACTTCCTGTAAACTTTAACTCAGAGTTGGTGAGACAATTTGGTTTTGGATTTTATTGCCTTTGGACTTTGATATATGCTATGTTGCATTATATGACGGGGCTAACTGGGGATATGAAATAGAATGGAAGTACGTTTCTCAGTGTAAGGAACGGCACCAAAGACGGAGGAAAGCTTCAAGTGAGCTTTATTAGGGAGCGCTCCCGGGCGAGGTTCACGGGTCCGAGAGAACGGGGCCAGAGAAGTCGCGACCGGGCGAGGGTTTGGGCAGAATTTATAGGGGAAGAAGGGAAAGGGGTGTGGTGACTCCGGGAGGGCGCAGGGTATTCCTCATTTTGGTGGTCTTTTCGGGTATCGTGGCAATATCTGGTGCCGGTCGCATCAGCCTTGGGACGGTTCGTCCCGCCCCTCGAAAGGCGGGAAGGCTGGGCCAGGTGGAAAGTCCCCAGGTCAGCTCCTGGAACTGGGTGGTCCGGAAAGTTTCGGTCCGATGCAGCCTGTGAGCCTGATTGCGTTCCCCTGCCTCGGGCCAGTTGGCCTTACACTCAGCATAAGTTTTTTCAGTCTAGTTTCTGCACAAGGAACTGCATGGCTCCCATTTTTCAGTCCATGTGCTTAGGTGGGGCTGACTTTACCCTCAGCTCCAAGTCTCAGGCCTGACCAGTAAACGTTCTTTGTTCTTCTGGATCAAGGTGATTGGATCAGGGGTAGATATGTGACCCTAGCAAAGCCAATCAGATTGCTCCCCAGGACCTTCCCTGGACTTTTTGGGAAAGAGGGCCCTGATTTGTTTAGGATTCTGGCTCTGAGGATATTAAAAGCCCTTTGCTGCTGAGAGCTAGTATCTTTAGCATCACTTGGGGAGCCTGAGAACGAAGCCTGCACAGAGGAAAGTAGAGATAAATAATGGAGAGGCAATGTCTTCCTTTTTTTTTGAGCCACTCAGTCTTAGCATATCAGCATCTTAGCTTCAGACTGGGAAGCTGTAACTTTTCTTTTTTTGCTTCAGCTGATCTGAGTTGGAATTGTGTCACCAATTAATTGAGTAAGCAGAACAGACATATTCTTTCTTTTGTAAACTTAAAGTATTGTGAAACAATGAATAAATGAACAAGTAAACTCTATAGGGGTACAGAATGTACACTGCATGTCACCATGAAAAACAAATAGACCAAAAAACTATCTGCTCACTGCCCAGTACTTTTTACATTAGAGCACAGTGAAATGCTGTATTTTAAGTCCGAGACATCCTGTGCATAGCTCG